GCTTGCAAGAAAGCACAAGAGCCCTCCCAAGATGCTTGCAAGAAAGCCAATAGCTCCAGCTCTGTGGGGTTGCCCTTGCGCAAGAGCCACACCGAGAGCGCCCCTGGCTCAGAACAGGCTTGCAAGAAGGCCAGAACTTTGAAAGAAGAAATTTCAATGGTCTCTGTAGATTCTCATGGGTTCCCCATGATCTTGAAATCACCAGAGCATGAGGATAGAGAGCGACCCATGTCAATTTTAGAACGACAGAGGGCGAGTTACAGGGAGCAACTACAACAGGCTGCCCAGGCAGCTGCCCAGCAGCATGTGGCAGATGGAAGCTCAAGGCCTGCAAGAAGGCCTGATCTTTCCAAGAAGCCAGCCGGCAAACCAAAAGCCAAGCAATGCATAAAGAAAAAGCCATCTTACTCAGGGCCTGAAAGGAGGCCAGAAGCCAAGCAAGGCCCAAAGAAAAAGCCATCTTACTCAGGGCCTGAAAGGAGGCCATGGTCAGATGTGAAGAAAGTTTTGGGAAAGGATCAAGCCTATCTACTAGGCCTGCAAGAAGGCCAGTGGAAACTCATAGTGGGCTGCACAAAGAAAATGGGCAAACATTTTCCAGGGGGGCACCACAGTGTGATCCTGGAGTTGGAAAAAGTTGTGATGGAGGAAGGCGCGACAAAAGAGAAGATGCAACAAAAAAGGGATGATTTGGTCAAAGATGTTGACTGATTTGGTCAAAGATGTGGACTCATATGCTTGGAATGGCCTGAGAGAAGGCTAACAATATATTTGTGTTTTTGCTTCAAGGCCTGAAGGAAGGCCAGTGAAGGTAGATCATGTGTAAAGGCACATTGACAATTGCATTTAGCTGGCCGATGAAAAAAGAGCGAGTGATCTGGGAGGGCTGTGTCTTAAGCTCTTGCAATGTGGTATACTGATTGACCAACATCAAACTAAGCTGTAGGGAAGCCATCTAAAGTATCAATTTCCCCTGCTCTCAAGAGACACCCACAAAAAGAATAGACTAATATATACTTTCCAATCCATTCACATGCTCTTTGGTGCTTAACTGTTCAATGTAAGTATCAGCAGCTTTAAAGCCAGTGGTGTTTACCGAAAGCATTTTTGAAAATTTTCAGATACTTCTTTATATCTTTAAAATTTCTCTATATATATAAATATGTATTGAGCCAAACAAGAAATATATGTATATTTTGTTGTATTTATGCATTGAACAAACAAACATATTTATACATTTCCAGCCTCAACAACTAACCACAGACATGCTCGAATGTGTGCACTCCGCTTTTTTTGGCTCAAGCAAGCATAGCTTTTTGTTAGCAAACAGAAACTCAAGAGCTGCAAGAGGCCTGCAAAAAGGCCCAGCTGCCTGAAAGAAGGCATGCCCTGGCAGGGGAACTGGGGCAAAGGTTGGAGAAGCTGGAAAGAAGAAATGGAAAGAGAATGGGCAGATGAAGACGAAAAAGACCAATGGCTGCAGGCCAGAAGAGACAGGTGGGCAGATGGTGGCCAAAGTTCTTCTGAAGAAGGCAAGGGGCCTGCAAGAAGGCCAGAAGGAAAAGGCCAGAAGGGCAAGAAGGGCAAGGGAGAAGGCAAGAAGGGGCCTGAAAGAAGGTCAGACACACAGCCACAGAAGAGAAAGGCAAGAAGGGAAAGGGAAAAGGCAAGCAGGGGTCTGAGAGAAGGCCAGAAGCCGAAGAAAAAGGCAAGGGAGGCCAGGAAGAAAAGGGCAAGAAGGGGCCTGAAAGAAGGCCAGTCTTTCAGCCTGAACACTGGGAAGGCAGGCCAGAGTGGGACCCGTTTTGGCAAGAAGGGCGAGGCAAAAGGTCCAGAGAGGCCAGAAAGGCTGAAAGGTCACAAAGGCCAGATGTGCAAGAAAGGAGGGAAAGGGGCCTGCAGGAAGGCTACCCTCCAAACCAAGTTCAGCCTCTACAGCCAGGGTCCCAAAAGTGGAGGCTGATCAAAGAAAGGGAGAGGGACCTGGCAAAAGTGGAAAGGGAGGTGTTGGCTGACACAGCCAGGCTGGCAGAGGAGAGGGCAGCCTTCCTGGAACTGCAGCAAAAGTTCCTTGAGGAAAGGCTTGGGGGGCCTGAAAGAAGGCCACAGCCAGCTGTGGTTCTGACTCCTGCCAGTCAAGAAGCAGGCCCTGCAGTGGTCTTGAAAGAAGGGCCAAGTGGGGAGAGGCCTGAAAAAAGGCCAGATGAACCTTCCCCAGATGTGGAGAGGCCGGAAAAAAGGCCAGATGAGTCCTCTCAAGAGGAGAGCAAAGAAGGGGCGACGCCTGAAAGAAGCAGAAGGTCGAGTCAGATGACCTCTGAGGCTTGAAAAACAGCCAACACTGTGCCCTCAAAGTTTCACCTGGGAGAGGCTTGAAAGAAAGCCACCCAGTGCATGCCAAATGTTTCACCTGGGAGAGGCTTGAAAGAAAGCC